CGCTATGCACTCCACGTCCACTCCTCCCGCTATGTACTCCACGTCCACTCCGCCCACTATGTACACTATGTCCACGAGGTCTATTAACTGCCAAAGATTTATGCAATTTTCCTTTTTTCTTAGGTCCAATAGATTTTGAATTATGGTCCCGAAACATGTTGTTCGGTAATTTTGACTTATGTCGACTAGTGTCATCATCATTATCACTATCAACATCACTTGCATCAAAATCATTCTGATACTTGTCATATTCACAGTCTTCATACTTTGATACTTCGTTATCGACTTCCATATCCTCCTCGGCCTCGGATTCATCCAGTCGAAAATCAGTGACTTCATCCTCGCGATCCACTGCATCTGGAAATTCCTCGTCAGGCTCAGCTAGAGCAGCCTCCAGATCAAAATTATCGTCTTCTTCTGATTCATACGATTTTTCCTCCTGCTTAGTAATCTTTGTTTTTTGTGGCTTTTCAATTTTCTTTTTCTTACTCTTCTCTCCAAGAGCTGTTCTAGCAACAGAGTCGCGTGAAATTCTGGCTTTTTTACACCGAGATATGTGTACAATGTTAACGCCGTCGTCAAGGTCGTAGGATTGGTCTGAGTCGCTATCAGCATCATCGGAATCGTTTTTAGAGGCGCTTTCCTCACTTTCCACGTGTTCATCTATTTTCCTATCCTCCCCAGAGGTAGCCTTGGCAGCGTTTGAGTCATCCTGTAAGATGAAAAAATGAAGTGCTTTAATTCTGATCACATTTATAGGATGAACAATAGTGTACTTTGTCAAGGCACCTATAATGAATGAAGGATGAATTTGACATGAGGAACATTAGCCATTCTTTGTAGAGGCATTGCGGTTTGATACAGTCGGTGAGATAAAAAGATGATTAAAAAGAAGCCTTCATTTCTAAAAAAATTCTTACTATGATTTCCATCCATTGTAGACGCTATAAGGGAGTTGATTCTAGATATGGACGATTAACTCTCGATGTACTGAAAATAAAAGGTTTCAGATGAAACCTACTTAATGGATTTCAGATATTGCTTGTCTGGTAAATATGTAATGATCCAGACCTGCTAAGTGGTCTAAATGGTATGAAGAGTAACTAAGGCTGGACAGAAGGTACAAATAAGTTTCCCGACATTCCGCCCTATCGATAATCACCAGCGTTAAATCGACGAGGCTACAAGTAAGTGTGCTCTGAGAACCTGGAAATAACGAACCGAAATGGGCATCCTGAATCAGTCCTTCTTGCATTATAGGATTATAAAAGTTCACTTCTCTTGTGAGTTTAAATACATGGTCTGTCCACGATGGGACTATTATCAGGAATCCCATTAGTTTAGCAACCTCTACAAGGATACTAGTTTGGCTGCATTAAGTAAAAACGGTAGGAGGAATTGGGCGATGCCATAAAAGCAAAACCAATGTACTCACTTACGATAAAATATGCCTAATACAAATAATTTCTTTTTAAGTGAATATTTTTCTTGTATTCCCACATATTCAGTTAGGTTGGTGACAAGAATTAAGTAAAAAACCGAAAAGCGTGGGCTCAAATGCAAAGAAACGCATCCAACGATAGTTATCCTAAAACTGGTAGAATAGCCTACGAATAGATAAGAAGACTCCTGATATATACTAACAAGCTAGTAGGCACAGCAATAAAACAATAAGTTGTGTGCTGATAGCTT